TTCCCTATACATGAACCCGACTCCACGGATATGGATAAACGGGGCTCTCTCTGAACCGGTTCGCATACGAAATGGAACAAGACAGGGCTGCCCGCTCTCCCCCCTTCTGTTTGCCCTCTCCCTGGAGCCATTCCTGGGGGCGGTCAGATGCGACAGGGGAATTGAGGAACTCACTCTACATGGACGGATGCATAAGGTGGCTGCCTATGCCGACGGCATGTTGTTTTTCATAGATAACCCGATAGTGTCCCTACCGAACCTACTGAGGGCTTTTGAAGAATATGGCAGGGTATCCAACATGAAGCTAAACACGGATAAATCAGAAGCGCTCCCCATCACCATTGAAAGGGGACTGACCGACCACCTGAAGACCCAATTTGCCTTCACATGGTGCCAACACAAAATTAAATATCTAGGGATTTGGCTCTCTGCAGATTTAACCCAATTATACGCCCACAACTTTGCACTGATGCTTCACACACTGAAAGCAGACTTGACACGTTGAAACCATACCTATCAACCCAACGGCATCCTTCTTCCGAACCATGGATACAGCTATCACCCAGTTTATATAGCAATCTAAAACCCCTAGGCTGAAGAGAATACACCTCCACCAGCCAAAGGATCAGGGAGGAACGGGTCTCCCCTCCATAAGAGATTACCACAGAGGGTGGAGGACTGGCACATACCCAAAACCAAAAAGACATGGATCAACATGGAATGGGCATAACTGGAGGGAGCGCTCCCGGCGGCAGCATGGCTTAGTGGTCCACTGAAAAGCTCGCAGACTCGGCACCACCCGCTCATAGGGGCGACACTCCGAACCTGGTACTTTATCAGGACAAAACTTCAGCTGTCCACAACCTCAGGACCGCTGACCCCAATCACGCACAACCCGGACCTAGCAGGGAACCTCACACCCCAGGATATTAAGGCATTTGGAGAGTTGGAATGGACATACATGCAACAGTGGTGTACAACCCCCGGACCTGATACGCAACACCATCGGGCCTCGACAGATTCTGATACTTCCAAGCAGGGCCGGACTGGGAAGAAAATTTGGCCCGGGCATTTCTTAATTACTGCGGCCCACTAAAAAGGGGGCGGGGCCAGATAGGGTGTGTTTTGTCATCACCAATGACAAGCACACCCCATCACAAAGTGAGCATGTTGGTTCAATGCTCTTCCAGGGTAGACCATGTGCAGAGCTCTGCTGAAGAGCTCTGTCATGAGAAAAATACCCTGTATTTGTTCTGCACAGCGCAAGCAAATTTAATAACATGCTTGCACTGTGTTTGCTTGAAATTTGGCTCTGGTGTCTCCATAGTTGGGATACCAGGAGACAAAAATGCCAGGAAAGCATATTGCGCAGTGTGTGTGAGGGTACTCTGTGTGTGTGTGTGTAAGGGGTGTAGTGTGTGTGTGAGAGAGGGGTGCAGTGTGTGTGTGAGTGATGGGTGCTGTGCTTGCGTGAGGGTGCTATGTGGGCAGGGGCGGACTGAGAGCCTTTGGGGCCCCCGGGCAAAATTAGATCCCAGGCCCTCTGAAGGCCAAATATATGTGCATTAAATAAATGTTAAATATAATTCATAATATGGCATTCCTTTGGATGTGTGTATTGTGAAGACCTGTGTATCAATGCATGTTTGTATTTGAGTCTGTGTGAATGCACTTGTGCATGTCTGGATGACTAAATGTGCTTTTTTGTATATAGGGTCAGTGTGAATGCATATGACAAGTGACAGAGTGTGTGAGGGAGAAGGTGACAGGTGGAAGAGTGTGGGAGGTTGTGACAGGTGGCAGAGTGAGGGAGGGGTTGAGTGGTGGCAGAGTGAGGGGGAGACAGTGAGTGGGTGTGACTGGTGACAGAGTGAGGGAGTGGGTGACTAGTGACAGAGGGAGGGAGATAGGGGTGACTAGTGACAGAGGGAGGGAGATAGGGGTGACTAGTGACAGAGTGAGGGAATGGGTGACTAGTGGCAGAGTGAGGGAGGGAAGAGATGACTAGTGGCAAAGTGAGGGAGGGAAGGGGTGACTAGTGACAGAGTGAGGGGGGTGACTGTCACTAGTCACCCCATCCCTCTCTCTGTCACTAGTCACTCCCTCCCTAACTCTGTCACTGTGTCACCTGCTCCCTCACTCTGTCACTGTGTCACCCGCTCCCTCTCTCTGTCACTAGTCACCCCATCCCTCTCTCTGTCACTAGTCACCCCATCCCTCTCTCTGTCACTGTGAAGGAAGGAAGGGGTGACTGGTGACAGAGTGAGGGAAGTGATGACTAGTGGCAGAGTGAGGGAAGGAAGGGATGACTGGTGACAGAGTGAGAGAGGGGGTGACTAGTGACAGAGTGAAAGAGGGGGTGACTGTCACTAGTCACCCCATCCCTCACTCTGTCACTAGTCACCCCCTCTCTCACTCTGTCACTAGTCACCCCCTTCCCTCTCTCTGTCACTCCCTCACTCTGTCACTAGAGTGAGGGAAGGGGTGACTAGTGGCAGAGTGAGGGAAGGAAGGGGTGACTAGTGACAAAGTGAGGGTGGTGGTGACTGTCACTAGTCACCACCTCCCTCACTCTGTCACTAGTCACCACCTCCCTCTGTCACTACTCCCTCCCTCCTTCTGTCACTAGTCACCCCCTCCCTCACTCTGTCACCTGTCACCCCCTCACTCTGTCACCTGTCACCCCCTCACTCTGTCACTAGTCACCCCCTTACTCTGTCACTAGTCACCCCCTCACTCTAGTGACAGAGTGAGGGACAGGGTGACTAGTGACAGAGTGAGAGAGAGGGTGACTAGTGACAGAGTGAGGAAGGGGGTGACACAGTGACAGAGTGAGGGAGGGGGTGACTGTCACTAGTCACACCCTTCCCTCCCTCACTCTGTCACTAGTCACCACCTCCCTCTGTCACTACTCCCTCCCTCCTTCTGTCACTAGTCACCCCCTCCCTCACTGTGTCACTAGTCACCCCCTCACTCTAGTGACAGAGTGAGGGACGGGGTGACTAGAGACAGAGTGAGAGAGAGGGTGACTAGTGACAGAGTGAGAGAGAGGGTGACTAGTGACAGAGTGAGGAAGGGGGTGACACAGTGACAGAGTGAGGGAGGGGGTGACTGTCACTAGTCACACCCTTCCCTCCCTCACTCTGTCACTAGTCACCACCTCCCTCTGTCACTACTCCCTCCCTCCTTCTGTCACTAGTCACCCCCTCCCTCACTGTGTCACCAGTCATCCCCTCACTCTAGTGACAGAGTGAGGGAGGGTGTGAGTAGTGACAGAGTGAGGGAGAGGGTGACTAGTGACAGAGTGAGGGGATGATTAGTGACAGAGTGAGGGAGGGAATGGGTGACCAGTGACAGAGTGAGGGGGGGTGACTAGTGAGGGAGGGGGTGACTAGTGACAGAATGAGGGAGGGGGTGACTATTGACAGAGGGAGGGAGATGGTGACTGTCACTAGTCACCCCATCCCTCCCTCTGTCACTAGTCACTCCCTCCCTAACTCTGTCACTAGTCATCCCCTCCCTCACTCTGTCACCAGTCACCCCATCCCTCCCTCTGTCACTGTGTCACCCCATCCCTCCCTCTGTCACTAGTCACTCCCTCCCTCACTAGTCACCCCCTCCCTCTGTCACTAGTCACACTCTCCCTCACTCTGTCACTAGAGTGAGTGGGTGACTAGTGACAGAGTGAGGGAGGGGATGACAAGTGACAGAGGGAGGGGGTGACTAGTGACAGAGTGAGGGAGGGGGTGACTAGTGACAAAGTGAGGGAGGGAAGGGGTGACTAGCGACAAAGTGAGGGAGGGAAGGGGTGACAGAGTGAGTGAGGGAAGGGATGACTAGTGACACAGTGGGGGGTGACTAGTGACAGTGAGGGGGGTGACTAGTGACACAGTGAGGAGGTGACTGGTGACAGTGGGGGGTGACTAGTGACACAGTGAGGACGAGTGACTAGTGACAGTGGGGGGGTGACTAGTGACAGTG